TTTTATTTGCTGGAGTCACTTGTTAAAATACTAACCATTGTATAAGATATCGTTGTAACCATTGTATAAGATAAAATAAAACTTAATTTTAGGAACCCAGAATGCATGCTGAATTCTCTTTTACTCTATGAAATAATTAAGCGTTATGTATAGATTACAATTCCACTGTCATTAGCTGGCATTCAGCTCACATTTTAGGCGATCAGGACCTTATTCCAACACACAACAGTTTTCTAAAATGAGCCCAAAGCAGAATGCATTTATGTCATAGATGAAATATTACAGCTGTTAAGGTGATTGAAATTGAATATATATAATACAGTCAATGCTATATACATAAAAAGGAATGATGACAATTTATGATTATTGGATGCGGGTGGAAGCATTTAGATGAAAGCTACTATCTTTCTCACGATGTTCTGGTCTTTCCTGTGGAAATTCTGATTTTATATTAATGATCATATCAGTATTTTGGTGTGCTAGAACAATTTGGGGTGTAATCTGGAAGCCGATGGGTGGCTTGATGAATGTAGATGAATGCATAGACCTGCCTATCTATTTTCGCCTAATACTTCATGTAATTTCGGCCTGTAGTTTTCTATCTGTTATTAAGACCAAGGCTTTGCAGGATGGGAGGACATCTGAGCTCAGGGGCGTGGGCTGTGTTTCCTAACATTGGACTTGGTTGCTTTTGATGATGGAGTATTTGCTTTGTTCCCACCACAGGGAATTCCATTTCTCTATGGGTAAAACTCACCGAAAATGTGTCTTCTTGTGGAAAACATTCTTGAACTGCTCTTTCTCCCTCTTTCAGCCTAGACTTTTGAGATGCATCATAGTCATCTGTAAGATGACCTCCCTCCCACAGGATAGCAAGAGATAGTCTGTGTGTGCAGACAGAAATAAAAGATACAATTGTTGGAGAATAGACAATTTTGTGTTTTTTCCACAGAAAATGTAAGTGTATACCTTAGAAAGAGAAGAGAACACCAACAAAACTATTGCAAATAATATTACAATAAGCTAATTAAAAATAAATGCACAAATCTGTTTTCTGTGACTCAGCAAAAAGAGATCTAAAAGTCATCTTAATTCTAATGGCAATTATATATATGATCTTCTATAAACTTAAAAAGACATGAGCAGTATTCATTTGAAGGAAAGAAAACACAGAAACTTATGATCATTTGATGTTAATATCAAATGTTAATGAATTGAGCGGTAGTTAGAAAATAGAATACTGAGAAGGAACATAAATGGTCATATATTAGATAATATGGTATTCTACAAAAATAGAAAGAAATGGAAGAAAATAGAAAGCACCAAGACTGATTTAAGACAATATACATGAGTATGCTAAAGATGGGATTGTGATCATTAAACATTCATTCAGCAAATAGCTTTAAACATCTATTATATGCCAGCCCTCACGCAAGGTACTGGGAATGCAGATTCAGTAACACAAAGTCCCCGCCTCAGGGAATGCATTATTTAGTCAATTTTTAAATGTTGAGGGGGAAAAAAAGCTAGTCTATATCCCTATCTCCCATTATATGTCAAATAGATGATTAATATAATGTTAAATATAAATATATAGGAAATGAACAGGAAAATATAAGTAACCAAACATTTTTTTAAAAGCATGTTTTTATTGATTTTTTTAGAGAAAGAGGAAGGGAGAGGGAGAGAGAAACATCGATGTGAGAGAGAGATACATTGATCGGCTGCCTCCTGCACGCCCCCTACTGGGGATCAAGCCCACAACCCGGGCATGTGCCCTGACGGGAGCAGAACCAGGACCTCTCAGTCCCTGGGACGATGCTCAGACCACTGAGCCACACCAGCTGTGCAGTAACTAAATGTTTTTTGAGTTGGGAAACTATATTAAAGCAAAGGGAGAAGGATACTATTCTTTTAAAACATTAGATTTTAAAGCAAAAATAGACACCACTTTTATCTTTAAAAAAATATCGAAGCCTGGCTGGTGTGGTTCAGTGGATTGGGCATCCTCCCATGCACTGGGGGTCGCCAGTTCGATTCCTGGTCCCCAGTGAGGGGCATGCGGGGGTGGAGATCAAAGTTTCTCTCTCATCAATGGTTTTGTCTCTCTCTCCCTCTCCCTAAAAAAAAAAAAAAAAAATTAAAAACAAGATTTAAAAGATAATTTGTAAAAAAAATAAATAAAAAAGTAAATGGCTGAACCATGTGACAAGGAAGTAATGCCACTCGAATGGAAATAGCACTGCAAATCAGTCACAAGGACTAACAACCAACTTTAAAGAAATTTAAAATACAAAGAATTTTAAAAATACCCGAATGAAGAATTATGATAAAAGACGGTCAACTTGAATAGTATTTACCCTGGGAATACAAATTAAAACTAGAACAAGACTTCACTTTCACTCTCTCTGATGCTAGATGGTATCTCCCAGATATGCCGTATTTTCCTCTAATACTGAAAATATTTTGCCAGACAACGCTTGCATGATTTGGAGAGGAAGGAAAGCAACCTGAGAAGTCTCTCGCAACAAAGTCATAGATGAAAAGGCAGTTAGATGAAAATCCCAGGTCATTAATTTATAGCACTACACAGGACTACGACATTTTAGAGATCATCTAATCTCATACCTCCATTTGGAGATGAAAAACCTGAGTCCTATTCTGTGCAGAAGGTAAGAGCCCTAGTGTGTGTGTGTTTCAAAGAGGAGCTAAAGATATGGTTTGTAGTTTTATCATTTGGAGATTGTAAGGCAGGATTGGTCCTTATAACAGTGATATTCTGACAGTCAGTGTTTAGTTGTTGCAAGAGGAAGTGGAGAATTACTTTAAAAGATCAAAGAGAGCATTTTGTTTTGTTTTGTTTTATGAAGATTAAAATTAACTGCAGTTTTTCCAAAACTTTCTATGTGGTAAAACTTTATTTTCGTTGTTTTTTTTTTCCCCTCTATCATTCTGCTACTTTTTATCCTAATCTATACTTCCACTGACATTTTAGAACTCTGACTTAATGTTTCTCAAGTTCTTTAGTGATAAACAGCTGAAAAACTATTTAATTTAAAAAAAAGAAAAAGAAACAATATATGTTCAAATGAATAAGAACGAAACTTTGGTATTCTAATAGGCAGCCACTTGAGGCTTAATCCCAAGCCATTTATAACCTTTTCAGATTAGTTTTCAATTGTTATTTTGTCAAGTACGGTCAATGAAGATTTTGTTATTTATGTATTTATAGGCTGGTTATCCATAAATATTTTATGAATGGAGACATTTTTAGCACCACCTAATGGCAGGCAAGTAAAAAGAAATACCTTTCCTAATTTAGAACTTATTTGCATAATTCAAATTGAGCTATAGCTTGAGTTGCTACTATTTGTAACCTTTTACATCCCCTCATGTACCCCACAGACAGCTAGAAATCCATCTCCAAGCAATTGGTTTGGGTGAGAATGAAGCAGACAGGATATTTGGTAATGAAATCAAGGGGATTTTCCTTCCTTACTAGAGCAAGGATAAGGAACTATCCGTGTAATAGAATACTTTGTTTTTATGTGTCGAGTGTTCTTTTAATTTTGGGAGCTCATGCATTGAGACTCCATTCTCCATACCCCAGTTAATTTCCTGACAAAATATACCTTGACTGTTGCATTAATTAGCATACTTAATTTGCGTTGTTTCTCAGCGGTAGTTGATACGTCTTTGACCAATTGGATGCACTATTCTAAGAGAGCATATTCTATCTCTGAATTTGTTTTGTAACTTAAGAGTCCTATCTTTCTCTTGATTCTCTTGGAATTTCCTATAGAATATGAGCCAAACCAAGTGGATTATATCAGGGATAAGTAAATCTTATCTTAGGCCATACCCTTGGATTCCATCTTTCTAGTAGGATTTGAAAAACGAGGAAAGATGGATTAGGCACGCATAATTCTTGATGTGGTTGCCGTCTGCTGAACCCAGAATGAATTCCTTCCGTGTGGAGGACATTTGGTTACCAGCCCAGCCAGTAGAGGAGTTCTCTCTCCTTCAAACTCCCATAATTCTGGCTGATGATGTAACCACTCACATCTGTGCTCACTAGTTACTCGGTCTTGTGCTATTGGGCTCTTACATGATTCTCATGTATGTTCTTGAGTGTGTAACTTGTCCCTCACCATATAGTTTGTCTGTCTCTCTCTCTATATATGTATATATACCTATACATTTGATCTTTCTAACTAAACTGGAAACTTCTTTGAAGACAGAGATTCTTCCTCTTACACTTCTTAGCCAGTTTCGATGCAGTACCGAAATGCCTTCCCCAGGGGACGCACTCTGTAGCCCGTGCTGAGCAGGTGGGACACCAGGTAGACAGCAGGTGAGACCAGTTGCTGACAGTGGGAAGGTGTCTATGTGAGCATGTCTACTTCTGCCTCCTGAGCTGCAGAAATGCGTTCGTGATGAGAGCATGGGGTGTCCTGGGCAGTGCTGGAAGGTGATCTGAAGTGGGGGGGGGGGGGCTGAAATTCTGAAGGCTGCAGACCTTTTGGTGACAGAATGGTGTTTCAGAAACTTCGCTCTACGGGACACTTCATAGCAGGTCTGCCCTGGTCTTAGCTTCTGTTACCGGGCTACTTCTTTAAACGTCTGAAGTCTCATCAACGAGGCCCCTGAGTTCCTCCACTCATGTCCAAAAACCCATTTGTTTCCATGAGTTTGATAACATTTTCAATCGGAAATTTCCGAGTCTCCAATCTGGGGTCGACGCCACGTCTTTGTCTGTTGATGGGTTTTGCCTAAATTGAACCTTCATTGTATATTGATTCGTGGGAGCAGAGACTTGGGTTTCCAAGTACAGGTTGGCATAAGGTAGATTTGAAACCAACCGGCTGGGACCATCCCAGTATGTCGCGTATAGTTGCCTGACTACTTACTGCATCGTGAATCATGTGCGAGTCGATGTCCGTGGAGTGGGAGGAGGCAGCCCACGCCGGGCTGACTTGCCCGTCGCACCTGTGTCTCAGGTATCAGAGCCAGCTTCCGGACCACGGCGCCTGAGGGTCTGCTCCTGTTCGCTGCACTCCCGGGCCACCAGGAGGAGTACTTCGCCCTTCAGCTGAAACATGGACGTCCTTATTTTCTTTTTAATCCTCAGGTAAATGACTAATCATAAGAGTTGAGATTTTTGAAGGTTTCCCAGGAGCCAGGTACTAAGGTGAGTGCTTCTGTTTTCACATCCCACCCGCCCTGGAACGTAGAGGTGAGTTCTAGTCGTACCCCCACTTTGCCACCGGAGAAAAAGAAACGTGTGCAAGTGATGGGACCTGCCCACAGCTGGGGTGGCGGAGCTGACTTCAAAATACGCGGTTTGACTCCACGTGGGTCGCCATGCGAGTCCTCACTGTATGCACCTGGTAATGAAGGTGAAAACTTTTAAATATACGCGCATAGATCTATTTTTTATTTTACTTGATGTCTCTCCCTTTATTCTCCCTCTCTTCCTCTGCCCCTCTCTCCTTCCTCCCTCCCTCCCTCCCTCCCTCCCTCCCTCCCTCCCTCCCTCCCTCCCTCCCTCCCTCCCTTCCTTCCTTCCTTCCTTCCTTCCTTCCTTCCTTCCTTCCTTCCTTCCTTCCTTTACTTCTTTGTTCTTTATTTGCTCACCAGCAATTATCTAAGTGCCCATCAGCTACTATCTTGCTGACTGTTCGGATGGCACTGGTTTCAGAGGTCAGTAGAATCATGCCCTTATAAAACAATCTAGGTATGATGCAGTAAAAAAATATTTAAAATATTCAAGAACGTTTTGAAAGGGGAGTATATGATGCTATATATCAGGGCAACATTAAATGAAGGGTCTTCCTCTTCTAAGTGGTCAGTCTTTTCGAGAAATGTGATCTATCACTGAGAAGTGGAAAAGGAAGAGATGTGTTCAGGACTAGAGAGTAGGTCTCCACTTGGGGGCATGTGCCTGAGACAGAGCAGAGAAGCAGAAATTCTGAGGGGCGTTAAGGGAAGATGCTGGGATACAATCTCCAGGTGGAGCAAATAGCAGATACTAAGTGCCTGAGGCAGACAAGAACAGGGCATGTTCGTTACATTGAGGTACACGCTATGGTCTAGAACAGAGAAACCAGGAGAAAAGAGGTAGGTTTAAGAGTTGGGTGGAGACTAAGTCATTTAGGGTCTTGGAAGCAGACGTGAGGATTTAGATTTTACTAAGTAGGGTGATGGGAAACCACTAAAGAGTCATCTTCACTTTAGCTGAACCAGGATTCGTGAGCATTTGACATTACAACCTAATCCTACATAGAAGCTATAGGTATAAAAACGTATTTGGTTTCCCTTTCATCTATCCAGTGCAGTCCATGAATAAATATTTAGGGGAAGGGAGAAAGATTCTTCATAATATTTTGTGTTTGGTTTTTCCCCCCTTTTATTGATTTTAAAGAAAAAGGAAGGGAGAGGGAGAGAGAGATAGAAACATTGATGAGAGAGAACATCAATTGGTCACCTCCTACATGCCCCCTACTGGGGATTTGGCTTACAACCTGGGCACATGCCCTGACTGGAAATTGAACCGGTGACCTCTTGGTGCATGGGTCAACACTCAACCACTGAGCCACACCAGCCAGGAAATTCTTCATAATATTTAAAAAGTAGATAATATGATAGCATATTATGAACTGAACAATTGGAACAATTGTTAAGAGTCACAGCAAAGAAAAATTACCGCAATTTTTTCCCGTTGTATTTTTTAAGTCTCTAACAATTAGCTATAATCCTTCCATTCTTTACTTGATTGATTTCAATTTGAATGCACTTGGTCCGATGATATTTTATTGACCAATAATGACTTAACTAGTGGTTATCATTTAAATGTTTTATGCTCAGTGACATGAACAGGAAATTCACATCACATTCTGACTTCACTTCTGAAGAAGCTATGAAAGTGAAAGGTTTCCAACTATTCTGAATAGCATTTATCTAACATGTCTGGTATTTTCCAAAGAGGAAGAACAGAATGCATGACAGGGCACCAGAATGATTCTCTTAACACTGATTAGGAGAAATCATCTTAAAAATGATGATGAAAGAATATTACGCTAAGTTCCTCTAAGTAGAAAGCACACTTGACATACTGAGACAGTATGTTCTGTATTTAATTTATCTCCAATACTTGTGATATCTAATAGAGACCTGTTAATTCTTCAGATTGTTGCCAAACATAATATGAAGAACTACTAACTCAGACACCTGATCTTTGAGAATGCAGCGTCGTTTGTAACAATTTTAACGCTAACTAAGTACACTTTGATGAGACAGCATTTAATAAAATGCTCATTAATTTCATCATTAGCAAGGGTATGCTAAGAAGTAAGCCAGTTTCTTATGTCACGCCCAATTAGCATCCCATGCTAGTAATCCCATTAGTATTGTTGAATTCACTAATGGAAAAACTAATGGGCATGGTACCAGGGCACATTAATTGGGCACGACACCAGTTCTGGTTTTAATTATTAAACTACGATAATGAAATGTGTGTTTGTAAAATATTAAAATGTTGAAATAGGGTTGAAGAAAATAAAAGAGCATGTAGAGGGAAAAGATATAAGGGAAGTCAGGCTGTGAAAATCCAAGGACTAGGAAAGGGACTTACCAAGTGGTCGTTTTTCCAGCCGATCGAGTTGTCTATGAAAGTCGAGGTATTGTCCATGAGAGAAGCAACCACTTATACTCATGGGAAATTAAAGCTGTTTTTTGGTAATATGCAATTCTGTATGTCATACATGTTGTCATGATCTGTATGAGGCCTGGCAGGAGCCAATTAAATGTGTACAATGGACATGTTATGTTGCTGAAGGGATTTTATGCAAATATAAACAGAAATGTTTTAAATGGTGTGATTGACATTGCACTTTCTGTGATGTAAATCTTCAGCCATGTTACCTCAGATAATTATCAGTTTTCTCTTTTTGATAAACATGACACCAAAACAAGATAAGGTTTGTAAAACATTCTAAGTAATGAAAATATTTAGTAATCTTTTAGCCAGTCTTATTATTTTTTCAATATTGTTGAATCGAGGTTCATTACTGCTAAGGAAATCAACTTAATTATGAAAGAAATTTTTTAAAATTTATTTATGAGGTTTAGAATAATTTTATGGTTACTTTTTCTTTAATAGTAGTCGTATGAAATGGTGTTGGTGACCAAGTTCAAATATCTTTTACTTAGTCTTATTTGTTCATACTCACCAGAAGGGATAGCCTTGTGTTAATCACAATATACTGGAAAAGTGTTTGGTTGGCTGCAAAGTGCTGATAGAAAGTTGTTTTTTTTTTCTCTTTTCTTTCTCTCACTTCTTATTTGCGAATCTCTATTTTTGGTATGTGCCACTGCCCAGTGTCCAGTTAGGAACTCATTTGTAACTGTGAGCCTACTACCTGAGGCAAAGTGTAAGTGGCAGATTTTAGACTACCAAGCATTAAGTCCTAAGTTTAACCACAACCCTTATGTTCAATGTTTTAATAACTGGCTACTTTTTTTTAATCCTTACCCAAGGATATTTTTCTATTTATCTTCAGATAGACTGGGAGGGAGGGAGAGAGAGAGAGGGAAACATCGATGTGAGAGAGACACACCAACTGGTTGCCTCTTGCATGACCCCAACCAGGGCCAGGGACTGAACTGCAACCAAGGTACGTGCCCTTGACCGGAATCGAACCTGGGACTTGTTGATCCGCAGGCTGACGCTCTAACCGCTGAGCCAAACTGGCCAGGGCGTACCTGGCTACTTTTTAATGTGAGCACATTCCTTATTAGTAGTGGGAAGTCGGTAAGAAAACCAAACTGGCCAAACCTTTCTCTGTCTCTAACACAATAGCGATTGGATAGTATTTTATCAGTTTCAAATTCTTGTCTGCTTTTATATTTCTGACAAAAATTAAGACATAAAACTTAACAATGGAAAATACTTTACCTTTCTGACAAATACAGTTCATCAAAATGCAAGTGTACTTGCCCGGCCGGTGTGGCTCAGTGGTTGACCTTCGACCCATGCACGAAGAGGTCGCCGGTTCGATTCCCGGTCAGGGCACATGCCCAGGTTGTGAGCCCGATCCCCAGTGGGGGGCATGCAGGAGGCAGCCAGTCGATGTTCTCTCTCATCGATGTTTCTATCTCTCTCTCTCTTCCTCTCTCTCTCTCTAAAATTAATAAAGAAAAATATATATATATATTTTAAATGCAAGTGTACTTGTTTTATTCCAAAGAGAAATTTTTCAGGCTTGAGCTCAGAGTGTCCTCAGGGACCATCACAGAAGGGCCAGGACGGTGTTGCACATGGACTTGAGCTGTGAGTCCTGCTTGTAACATGCACATGTGTGCATTGGGATCACGTTAACATTTGTGATTGGTTTGTAACAAATACATGCAACTATATAAACAGGAACGTAGGTTTACACTGACATATATTTGTGTGTCTCTATAGTCGATGTTTGTCTTTAAACATGTATCAATTCCTTTCAGGGGTCTCCAGTAGAAGTGACCACAACCAATGATGATGGAAAACAGTACAGTGACGGCAGGTGGCATGACATACTCGCTGTCAGGCGCCAGGCTGTGGGCCAGATCACACTCGACGGGCAGTACACCGGTGAGAACGCTCTCGAGTACATGCATGGCTCTCTTGATGATGTTACTGCACTTTTCCGCCGTTTATATATAGTTTTATGTCTCTTCTTTCGCCTTTTTCTCCACTCGGTGTCATCTAAATTGCATTCGGTTGGGCCTCAGGGTGTTCCTGACCTGAAGTCTGGCAAGCATTTTCCCACCCACGCAGGGTTTCACTAAAGTGGAAATAAGAGAAAGGCACCAGTAGCAATTTTGTAGCGTGCACAGTCTTGAGTTTGCCGGTCTTGTACTTACATGCTCTCGTGTTAGGTTAGACTCCCAGCAGACAGAGCAAACAGAGTGAAGCGGTCTTTGTGTGCATTTTGGAGATGAGGGAACTGAGGCTCAGGGAAGGGAAATGCTTTCGACCAGGTGCACAGCTGCAGGTGGATTCTTGGTGGAGGACACACCCTGTCTTTGCAACTCTGAGTGGTCCTTCCGTCTTGCCCTTTCTGTCCCCGTCATGCAATGATAAAAGCTGCAGTGCCCGTGTGATGGGGCAAGCTTCCCGTAATTCATTCAAGGTACGTGGAATTGTACTGAGCCCCTGTGTGCCAGCCATTGCTCTAGGGGTCCTGGGCACACACAGCAAATTTACACGTCAAGTGGGAGAGGGGCAGGGGACAGAGCAGGTATACATCGAACAAGTATGAGGTGTATGCTGAGGAGAATAAAGTAGGATAAGAGGAAAAGAGGTATGTGTGGGGCCGGGAAGGGATTTTATTTTTAATTTTTTTCCTTTATTAATTTTAGAGAGAGAGGAAGGGAGAGAGAGAGAGAAACATCGATGAGAGAGAACATCGACTGGCCGCCTCCTGCATGCCCCTCACTGGGGATCAGGCCCACAACCTGGGCATGTGCCCTGTCCGGGAATCGAACCAGTGATCTCTTGGTGCAGGGGTCTGAGCCACACTGGCCAGGCAGGATGTTTTCATTTTATAAAAGGGTGTTAGAAATGAGCTCTGCACTTGGGATTTGAGCAGAAACCTACGAGGGGGAAGGGGGAGACCAGGAAAGTGTTCCACAGAAGGATGGCAGGGGCCCAGGCAGCAGGGGGTGCCAGGGACCCGAGGTGGGCGTGCCCTGTCGCTATGTCTAGGACCCCAGGAGGCCAGTGTGAGGTGTGGGGTGAAGGGCCGGTGGCCTGCTGTGAGGTCAGACACCATCAGGACTGGATGATGCAAAGCGTTGTGGACTTTACTTGGAAGGAAGAAGCCGTTGGAGCAGTCAGAGAGGAGGGGCACGGAATGACTTCTTTCTTTCGAAGGACACTCTGCTGTTCTTCTGAGGATACTTTTTATGGGAACACGGGCAGAAACATGGAGACCAATGCAGAGGCTTCTGCTATAATTTTTAAACAATTCAGGCAAAAATAGGGAAGGGTTTTTTGAACCGGGAAATCATGAGATATAATGGCTCTATACCTGGAAATGATGAGAAATCTGGAGACAGCGTAAATGTTACGTGAAAAGGATTTGATTGCGGTCAGACAGATGACCACCTGTGGGCCAATTTAAGCTCATGTCTGTTTTTGTCATGTTTTGCTGAAACAATGTATCCATTCGTTATGTACTGTCTGGGGCTGCTTGGGGCTGTCGGTCTGCAAAGCCTGTAGTATATTCCCCGGCCCCTTACGGAGGACTTGGCCAACCTCGAATGTCACACATGACTCCTCGGGTTGGGGTCTGGACCTTGGGAAGGACATAGCTGCCGTACTAAGAAGATGAGAACTCGGGAAAAGCAGATCGGGAGAGAGATGTCCAGAGTTCACTCTGAACATGTTAAGTCTTCGGTTTCTCTGAGGCATCCAAGTGGAAATATCAGGCAAGTTGCTGGCCGTACAAGTCTGGCTTCAGAGAGATTTGCAGACGAGAGATACAACTTGGAGTTGTCAGCTGAGATGGTCTCAGGCCAAGGGACCAGATGTAGGTAGGGCTCCTTACCATGGTTTGGGCTCCGCAAAGAACCTGTTCCCTTCCTCCCAAGGAAGAATGAGTTAGATAGAAATCCTCACGGGTGATTTGCACTCTTATGCAACAGAGTCAGGGACCCAGGCCACTCTGGTCTTTGGCCCAGGTAGTTGGCACAGATGCCCAGCCCTCCATGTATCCTTCCAGAGGACTTAAGCATCACTCCAGGTGGAGAAAGAGGTTAGAGAGGGGAGGAGATCAGAGTCCTCCCAACGTCGAGGTGTTAGGGGCGATGAGGAGCCAGTGAAGAAAATGAACCAGGACAGGAACTAAGGTAAGAGGAGAACCAAGAAAGTGTGATGTCCCAAAAGCTCCGTGAAGGGTTTCATCGTTTCTTAAATGTGTAGAAAAAGGTAGTCCTGCTGAGACTGGGATTCTCTCTTCTCCTCCACAGGCTCCTCTGGGCCCCTGAACGGCAGTGCTATTATTGGACAGAACACAGGAGTGTTTGTCGGGGGGCTGCCTCAGGACTCCACCATCCTGAGGACCGGTCCCGGTGAGTTTGGGACAGGCATAGAATTTATATCTTGTCACCAGCATTTAGAATAGACTCGAACGACATTATCTTCAAGTGTGAGTAATAATATCATTTTCGGTTTCATGCTGCATTTCCCAGACCAACATGGCCAACATTTCCGTTACGTCTCTTCTTTGCTAAAGGAACCGTGTACTGCTTGTATTGATCATCTTAGTGACCAGCCCTTGACGTGTAAACATTCATTAAACTTTTCCTGAAAAGAATTCTATTTATTTCCATTGAAGTTATAGCATTTTAGCATTATGTGTCCACTTTTCTGGAGATTTTGTTTATTGTTTTTTTTAAGATATGTTTTTTATTGATTTTTTTGAGAGGGAGAGAGAGAGAGAGAGAGAGTAAGGGAGAGAGAGACAGAAACATTAACGTGAAAGAGATATATCAATCGGCTGCCTCCTGCACGCCCCCTACTGGGGATTGAGCCTGCAACCTGGGCATGTGCCCTGACTGGGAATCGAACCAGGATCTCTCAGTCCATGGGACGATGCTCAATCCACTGAGCCACACTGGCTAGGCTGGAGATTTTGTTTTTTAAAATTTTATTATTATTATTATTATTATTATTATTATTATTTTTAATACAAACTCCTCTTTAACTGAAAGATACCATTTGAAGAATATAAATACAATAAGGCTGGAGATTTTAAACTGAACATCAAACCACACAGAAATGGAAAGCTATGAGCTTGTCTTTCAGTATAAATAAGGGGAGAATGTTCCCTGAGTAGGGACAGGGCCTGGTGACGGGCACTAGCCTAGGCCCTGGATACCCATTAATGACTAAAATGTTGTCTTGGCCTGAGTGGAGGGTGCAGATTTGTCCCCCAATAATTCCTTTATTCACTACTATAATTGCGGTATAGACCAATTTATTCCTATATTTTGGAACAACAGAAAAAAATAAACTGACTCTAAAGCAAAATTCATAAAACTAGCAAGAATGAAATTAATCTTAGACAAAAAGAAAAAAAAAATCGCCCTTCTTAGAAATGAGATCAAACCAATGACTGGCTTGTCCAGCAGACTAGGGTATTGTGATGATGGAACGAAACTATAAACTGTAGATTTAATAGAAACACGTCCTTCAAATGTTACTTTTAAAGCGTGATAGCACTTTTATTTTTATGACCAGTGGTGGATGAAATCTCCTGGTTTAGTTCAAAAGGCAAAGACTCTTGCTAGTCCTATAAAAACTGAGGTTGGTCGCCTTAACATCTGCTTCTGCGGAGCTGATGGGTCCGAACCAGAGCCGGGCATCGTCACGGTCCCCAGAAGCAGTCGGTGGTGTGGCGTTGCCACCGACCATGAAGGGCTTTGCAGCAAACAGGCAGAGAGAGCTGTTGCCCGTTTCTTTTATTGTAATGGCACATAAAACGAACTGATTGAAAAGCATTTTTAAGATGTATATTTCTTGATCTCTCTCACTTCCCACAGACATAGTCCGAAAGGGTTTTGTGGGCTGTCTCAGGGATGTGTATTTCATGAAGCGTTACAGTCCCTCTGCTGTTTGGGAGCCTCTGGTTTGGCAGAATGCCGAGGATCAAATGAACGTGTATGACGAATGGGAGGGATGTCCCTCTTCATTACAAGCGGGGGCCCAGTTCCTAGGAAGAGGTAAGGGTCTCAAAGAGCCATGGTTCATTACTTAGCTGCCCGTTCTCTCCTTGGCATAGTTGACTGTTCCCTGTCCAGTCACTCTGACCTCATAGAAATACCTAGTGATGCCCATAAATATATGCCCAGAGTTTGAATGCATAATGTAAATTGTAAGGCGCATGAGTAGATATTCATGTGTAAGCTCTATAGTGGCCCAAAACAATGGTGGTGTCCCCAATGTCCATCTGTAAGTCAACGGTTTTACTTAGAATGCAATTTACTTAGAAAGATGTTTCCATTGAGTCACCAGGTTAATCTGCAAGTATCTCTTTAGTCTATTATGTAGATGGACAATATTTTTCGGAGTAAAATTTCAGCTTTGAAATAGGAAGGTAGGTCATTAAGGGAGGCTAGAGGTGATAATGGACGTCACTGCCCTTTATCCAAGCTGCAGCCACAGTGGGGTGTGGTGTCCCTGGATGTCCCCATGGTAAGGGATGGAAGAGAACAGGGTGGCTTGGGGGGCATGGCTTGTTCTCCCAGTTAAAGCCCACCTCTGCCTCCTCCCTTTATACTCAGCTGGTCAGTTATTAAGTGAGAACAGAAAGCTACGTGGTATCATCATCTGCACGCTGTTTCTGTTGCTTTATCTCATCAGCCATTATTCAGAGTTTCTCTGAAGCCAGTGAAAATGCTTATGGTTAATACTCACATAAACTAGTACTAATCTGAGTTGTATCCATGAGTCCAGGACAGACTGCTTCCTCTTCAAAGGTATGTCAGGTTCATTCAGCCACTGTTGGACAGTTGCAAGGGAGATTTCTGGACATGGACGTCCATCTTTCGTGAGAGAGTCACAACAGCCTGTGTCCCAAGGGTGTGTGACGTTGCCTGCACAGTGCTGGTGGTGTTGCTTCCCACAGCTCATGTGTGCACCTCCTTCTCCTTCAAGGGTTCCTGGAGCTTGACCCACGCGTGTTTCCTGGCGGCCTGGACTTGGAGATTTCCTTGACGTTCAGAACAGACCAGCTGAATGGATTGCTTCTTTTCGCTTACAACCAAGATGGACCTGACTTTCTTGCTGTAGGTTCATTCAGTCCATTACATTTACGTGAACATGTCAGATTCCGTCTTGAAATACATAAACCGTCGGTGTACCGTATACTGAATTGGGGTTTCTTTCCAAATTCACTTTTAAGTTTTTTTCATCCCAAATCATTTTCAGTTTCAGAGTCTTGTGAAACATTTTGCCTTTTAGGGCTATGACAACTTATTCTATTTTATTTTACTTTATTGATTTTTGAGAGAGAGAGAGAATGGAAGAAGCATACATTTGCTGTGCCACTTATCCGTGCATTCATTGGTAGATTCATTCTTGTATATGTCCTGACCGGGGATCGAACCCGAAACCTTGGTATATGGGGATGATGCTCTAACCAACGGAGCTACCTGGCCAGGGCCTTATGAAAACTGTTTTAAAGCACTATTATTACTGTGAAAATTGTAATTTTAACAAAACAGCTTAAGGAATTAAAACCCAAGTTAGTGCAACCATATGAAAGTCCAGTGAATGTTCATGAACCGACCCCCCAACTCAAGAACTCAAATGTCATCCATGTTTCTGTCTACCTCTGGGGTCTCTCCGAACCCACACCCTTGTCTCCCTCCAGAGGTCATAAGTAATCAGAATGTTGTGTTTATTATCCTCTTCCCATGTCTGTAGTCTGTACACCATGTATGAATGCCTAAAAATCCTTGTTTCGAAGTGGAAAAAAGTGGTATTGTACTTTCTTCAGACTGACTTTCCCAAATGCTAGTTGCCCTGGATTTTCATGAAATTCCCTGGCTTCTCCAAAGATCATTGTCACCTTCCTAGATTTACTCTACTTTTCCCTTAAAACAGGGTCTTACCGAAGATTCTATATTCCTTTTCCTTCTCTTTTCACTCTGTTTATTATACTAACTGAATGGTTTTATTTATCTCATCATGAACTGTTCCCATTTTACTGGCCTGTCTTTGTGTTCAGCTGCCTCTAGGGAAGTTTATTCTGGATGTTTTACAGGAATTTCAAACTCATTAGGTTTAAAATTGAACTCACCCCTCACCTGACCAGGTAGCTCAGTGGGTTAGCGTGTCGTCCCCATATTCCAAGGTTATGGGTTTGATCCTGGGTCAGGGCACATACAAGAAGCAAGCAATGAATACATGAAGAAGGGGAATGGCAATCGATCTTTCTCTCCTTCACCCTCTCCCTCCTTTCTCTCTCTGAAAATCAATTAAAAAATTTTAAAATTAAACTCAACTCTCTTCCTGATACAAACAACAACAGGCAGCCATTCTTTCTATTGCTGTATATCATGGTGTTGGTAAAACACACCCAAACGAGCAAGAGAGAAGGTGCGTGTCCTTGACTTACTTGTCATCCATCTGACACTTTCACCTCTTTGCCAGACCCCACTGGGTTGCTTTTAGAAAGGCCTCCCGGATGGAATGTCATTGTCATCATCGTTGTCATCCTTATTTGAATGACTCTCATCTTTTTTTTTTTTTTTCAAAATTTTGCTGGTTCTCTAATAGGTTTTTCCCATCTCAGCCCAGCCTTGTTTCCAGTATGGACTTCTTATGACTGGGAGTGCAAACTGTTAGATAAGAGAACATCGGAAGTAATAGGGCTGTTGGTGTCCAACGGACCAGAGACAGATGAACTCTTCTTAATATCACTTAAAATGCTCTAAAATCTTGCTTCTACAGACCTGGCAAGACCCTTCCTAACTCACCCTGCCCCCCTCAACATGTAACTATTTCCCCTTATTTGGTGCCTTTTTCTAACCCTAGTAAACTTGTGCATGTCCCCAGTCCGTTGAATGTGTTCAGCCCCTGCTTGGAGAGCCCTCCATGGATCTTCTGTACCTTCTTTAAACCTTTCCCAGGAAGCTCTGTCATTGCTCCCTGTTCCGGTCTTGGTTACAGTGTAACTTCGTGTGCTTGTCTCTGCTATTGGACAGGGTATTGTGGGAACAGTGTTCATCCTGCAGCAATGGGTCCATGGAACGTAGCAGGGGTTTCAGTATTGAATGAATGAATGAATGAATGAATGAATGAATGAATAGATAAATAACTGCTCACCCAATGTACTTCACAAGGATGCTATTTATATAGTAAAAGTAATAATTTTTATCTGGCCTTATTTATTTGCTTCATTATTCATTAGACATGATTGATCTCAAATGTGTGTGTAACTATGTTGCTGATTTGACTTCCAGCAACATAAAACAGAGTAGGTGAAATAAGTATCATGTACCATTTGGAAGGAAAACATACGGGAGGCATTTTCTGCACCATGAAAATTGGGGCAAAATATGTTTGTATTAGAAAATGGCACCTTAATCAAGAAGAAAACACATCGAAGCAATTATGTTAGTTAGAGATGTAGAATAAAAAAAACTGGGACAGCGAATCCAAATACATCTTCCAAATCTGAAACTGAGTCCACCAACCAGTTAAAATAAGCTTACGTTTTATTTTCTTACTGTCTTGTCATACCCTCCCCCCCAAATTAAATTGATATATGAAGTAGTATTTTTCTCATTTTCTAAAAACTCAAAAATAGAATCATAGCTCAAACTGTTTTCTTTGGTCACTTGTGCTGGGGTTTAATATTTACCTGCGTTGTATCCCCCCCAAAGTTTCTGCCTACAACATCCTGTATTATACCATACGAATTTGTTTGACTCGCTACAATATTCATGGCACTTATAAACTTCCAAGGGACTTTATTACATGCTATTCTGGCTTGGCTTAGAACAAAGTGGACTATTTTGATAGAGTGCTTTCAGGAAATGCCTTGCTTTTCTTCCAGAAATTGACCTTCTGGCCTGGCTGGGGTGGCTCCCATGCATCAGGAGGTCACCGGTTCAATTCCCAGTCAGGGCACATGCCCAGGTTATGGGCCTTATCCCTAGTGGGGGGCATGCAGCCAATCAGTGTTCTCTCTCATCGATGTTTCTATCTTTCTCTCTAAAATCAATAAAGAAAAAGAAGTAAAAAAAGAAATGGACCTTCTGCTCTCTCCCAAACTGCCACCCTGCAGTCTTTCATACACCTGTTTTCTTTCTTACTGTGGACCACAGGTGGAACTTAAGAGTGGACTACTGCGACTCAGGTTAAATACCAGTGTCACCTTTACACAAGTGGATCTGTGGCTGGGGCTGTCCTATTGTGCTGGCCAGTGGAATACAGTGATCGTGAAGAAGGAAGGCTCCGTCCTGTCCGTGAGCATGAATGAACTGATGGAGCGTGTATCAGAGCCCAGCGCCCAGCCCCTGACGGTGACTTCCCCCGTCTACCTGGGAGGTGTCCCACCGGAGCTGCAGGACTCGTACAAACACCTGAATTTGCAACCAGGTAAACTTCACCTGGAGGAATCCCCAAATCATGACAGCTCTGGTCTTCCCAGGTTTGGGTGGCTCTGTGTTTCTAAATATAGTAATAGAAGCAGGCTAAAGCAATGCCCACCCACCCCTTTGTTGCAGAATTTTAAGCTCAAAAAAAAAAAAAAAAAGAATGAATCACAGACTACTTCTTCAAATAGTTTTGTATATTGCACCTAAGAGTGTCCCCTCATATATAATCAATATATTCTAACATGTCCTCAGAAATACAATTTATATATATATATGTATATGTATATATATACACACACACACACACACACACATACTTTTCATGTTTCCCTTGAAAAGACATGTGGTTCTGGTGGTTTTGAATACTGATCGTTATCTTTATTTACAGATTAAATAAATAAATTAGGTTGGTGGGCACAACTGGGAAAATTGGCATTCAGTTCACTAGGGCTGGTTTCTGGCATAAATGCTAATTGTCTCCATGCATTTCAATGGCCTCTTGTGCAGCCAAGCACATGAAAAGGTGAGTTTAGTTGAATTTCAAACATACTAGTAAAAAATCTATATATCATTGATTCTTAATAACCACGCAGGAAAAGTCACAAGTGTGTAAGTCATAAGTAAAGCAAGGATTTAACTCCTATCACGGGTGTGGACATAATCAGAGAAAAAAATAACTCATGTAACTGATAACATCAAACTCAGATAATGAGTTTGAGCATAAATACAGAAATGATTAATTTTGAAAGGCTAGCAAGAGTGGAGTGTGTACTGGGTGCTTTGATTCTGAGGGCTTTGCAGGAGAGGTTGGAGTGAGTTCTTCCTAACAAGCCTATGTCTTAGGGGCTATTGTTCGTATCCCCATTTTACAGATGAGAAATCTGAAGAAGAGAGAGAAGGATTTGCCCAAGGTCGCATGGCTAGTAAGCAGGTAGCTGGCAAGCCCAGTGGTCAGTCTAACTCCCGGCATGCGAGCCAACTTGCGCCCGTGTAGAAAACGGTCTCTATGTGTTTCAAAATCTGTGCACTGTGAATGGTTAAAATTCCCATGAAGCAGTTTTTGCCTATCGGGTCAGTACATAAAGATTTAAATGCCTGTGAATAGAAAATATATGGCAAGCTCTAAGAAGACTTTCAGAAGGGTATGAGGAAGGAGTTAATGAATATCTGAGACCCAAGACAGTAATGACATTTTCCAGGCACTTAAATGTAACAGAAGCTGGAAATATTACATTCACATAAAGGCTTCTCCTGATTCCGGGTTCCTGAGGTTAGAAGGAGCTTGAAAACCCTTTATATGAGCAAGATTACTTGACCTTATTTACATCTAACACCTACCTATGAAGCGTTAGACTTTGGAGGGTACCAACACCCAACACCATGTTGGTCCTAAGACATGGCTTAAACTGGAATTGTAATATTATAATGTTATAATATTATAATGATAGAAGTTTAGAACATCAACATAGACCCCGGGAGAATAATTTCATCTTCACTATGACTGAATCTATAATACTGAATGATATTTTATTTATGGGTAATATTAAATTTGTATCATCAAAGTATCAGCCACATTAGTAGTTCTCAGATCACTGATAACATGTGACGTGTAGTAGCTGGGATGTAGTAAAAACTCAATAAAATTAGCTTTCATTATTATTACTATTATTATGATCATCATCATCATCATCATCATCATCTTTACTGCCACCCAAGATACATCGGAATTGCCTGGAAAGGTTATTAAAAATGCATATTTTACAACCCTGTCCCCTAAGATCCTGAGATGTTTTGAGTGATACTGATCTTTATAAGTAATTGCATTTATATACAGAGATCAGGACACTAGTCACAATATACAGATACTGCACACATGAACTAAATTGAAATTCAAATCCATCATGTTCACAAACTGTATTTTTTTCAGTCCATTATCAACTGTTTAAAAATTATTCTATGCTTCTCAATTAGCATCTCTTTTCAGAGGCTCTATTTTGTGGTCATATTAGGGCTATTTTCCCCCCTTAGTCATTAATATTGTTATCTTTCATGTGCAAATTAATTTTCCTCCATGCCTTGGAAATACTGGGGAACATACGATGCAGAAGCCATGCTGGGTCAGGTCCTGGGCGGCTCACTTAGAACGATCACTTGGTGCTGTCACTGAGGTGGAGGCTGGAAGTGATCGGGCCTGGCACATGGGGTCACAGGTCATGCTCCCTGGAGGGGCCAGGTGGGGGCTGAAGCCAGACTTCCTTCCAGACCAGGAGCATGGTGTTCGGCTCCTCCCTCCTGAACACCTGCTGTCTGATCTGTCAGCTCAGAGCCTGGGGCCACCTTTCAGTGTTTGGAGGCCCGGGGGAGGGGAGCAGAGGCAGGGTTTTGTTTGTTTGTTTTCGAATCTCACAAAGGCAGAAAGCAAGGAAGGTGGGGCCTACACTCCCCCCACAAAGAAACCCCCTCCCCGTTCTTATCCTCACACCCCTTCCAAAGCTGAAGGAGGCTTGGGAGTATCCCTGGAGGGAGCACTTCTCATGGTGCGGATCTGCGAGACCATTGACACGTCCTTCTCAGGACCCTCCGACGTGAGGGGAGCCCCTGCCCAGGCCCCGGCAGCCCCGGAGGTCTGCGGGCACCCCTTCGCCCCGTGGCTCGGGCCTCTGCCTGTGTCTCCAGAACGAAGGAAGACTCCGTCGGTGGCCCTTCCCACGTTTGAAACTCCATCCTGTAAATTCATGTTAAGATACTTTTTTCTTAACATTTAAAAAATTGTGCCGAAATCGACGTAACACACACTTGCCGTCTTGCTGTGTTGACGTGCGCAGCTCGGTGGCGGTAAGGGCAGTCCCCCTGGGCGCAGACACCATCCAGCTCCGGCGCCACCTTCCATCCTGCAGGCTGTGGCCCCTGAACAGTAACAGGCGGGTCTGACGCACACACCTGCACGTCAGCCACCCCTCGCCACAGCCCGTGTTCTGTGGGTGGGGAAACTCAGAAGGGTGCAGAGAAGGGGGGTGACTCAGCTCCCTGCCATCAGAAAGTTTCCGGCAAAGGCGGAGGCATTCTGAGCTTTGGAATTTTCAAGTGGATGCTTTTCTATTGCGCTTCATGGCTTTCTATTCAATCCACTCAACTTATTGAGGGTCTGCTGGGTGTTCAGGATAGACGGGTAGTATTGATCAGGGTGGGGGGGCTGAAGGAAGGTGAATAATAGCAAAGGCATTCGAAAGGAAAGACACTACCCCGTCATGTGTTCTGACATAATAAGACATCATAGAAATGCTGACGAGAACATTGTGGTCATTGTCACTGTTAACTCATTTTACTCCTGCATGATGGTTTAGTTGACTGTCTGCTGTGGGGCTTTTATCTTGAAAAGAGCCAATCATGTGTTCAGGGAATTTCGAGCTGGACAGTGTTTTATTTTTAAATTATTTTTTCTTTATTGATTTTAGAGAGAGAGGAAGGGAGGGGGAGAGGGAGACAGAAACATCGATGAGAGAGAACATTGATTGGCCACCTCCTGCAAGCCCCCCACTGGGGATCAGGCCCATAACCTGGGCATGTGCCCTGACCAGGAATCAAACCGGTGACCTCTTGGTGCAGGGTCGACGCTCAACCACTGAGCCACACCAGCCGTCTCCAGTGAATCTCGAAACTATCCTCCCTCCTGTTACCCTGTAAGGGCATTTTCCCCCCACAATGATCTTGTTGAAAAATGATGCTGCTTGAACTTTTTTGTTTTTTTGGCCCTTAAACACTGACTTTTTTTATAGGTAACTTAGTTTTTGACATTGAGGGGCACAGGGATACCGCCTGTGCCATACTGTGTAACTGGCTAAATTGTATTCCAGGAACATACACATGCAGGGAAAATGTAGGCCTAGCGGCATCTAAGAAGCACGTTCGGTTGCGGAGTCTAGTTGAAGTCTACGTATCAGGTTATATTTTTTGAAACGTAACATACATAGAAATCTTTTCTTGCGGCGCGTTAGTGTGATTCAAAAGAGGAGGCATCGAGGATTTCCCAAAGGAGACTTGAACATTTAGAAATCAGACCCAGAGCACCCCGCGCCCCTCAGTTAAAGGCACCGCGGAGGCCGGCAGTGATGGGGAGTGAGGACCCCGGCCCTCGCTGTGATGCTGCTCTCTCCGTTTCTAGGTTTCGGTGGCTGTGTGAAGGATGTTGTGTTTGCACGAGGTGCTGCTGTTAACTTGGCAGCTGTGTCCAGCGGTGCTGTCAGAGTCAATCTGGATGGATGCCTGTCAAGTGACAGCACCGTTAACTGCAGGGGGAACGACTCCATCCTCGTCTACCGGGGAAGAGAGCGGGACGTCCAGGAGCACGGGCTGCAGCCCTTCACAGGTGCCCGGGGTTCGGTGTCCCCCCCCCTCGCCCTCCCTGCCAGCTCACCCCTCCTCTAGGTGACCAATAGTGTCCTTTCTGCTTCCTCTTTCCACTTCAGAGTACCTGTATCGAGTGACTGCCTCACACGAAGGAGGTTCTGTCCGTAGTGACTGGAGCCGGGGGCGCACACTGGGAACAGGTAAAGGTGCTTGGTCTCCTATTGTAGCAGTGCCCGCACACGCTGGTGCGCCCAGGTGGGCGCGTGCGAGGGAAGGACAGGCCGCCGCCCTTTCCGAGGCTGTGTGTTTGCGGTCACGTGGCAGAACGTACCTTGAGTGGCCCAGAGCCGGCCGATGGCTCAGACGCTTAGCAGATCAGGGCTTGTGGTTTTCCAGGGGTTGAATAAGCATCGGCTCGGGCTTGATTCTTTCCTCTTCGGATTCAGAAAGCAGTTTTCTGTTGTCTTGGGGATGGAACAGGCCTGTCTCCACAGTAATGCGCCTAAGGACAGGAACACCTGATGGACTGCACGGACCCCAGGATGCTAAAGTCGAGGTCACCATTAAGTGGGGGTGACACCCTCGTGCAGAAGGTGCAATTGCAACCTGCATCCTGGTTGGAAACAGACAGGCGTTTGCCGCGGTGTTGACTTTAATATCTGAGAACGAGTCTCCCGGGATAGAAATTGCTGATTGGTCTAATTTTTTATTTTACTTTTTTGAGTTGGAGAGGAGATAGCTAGAATCCACGAGGTCTCATCTCAGACGACCAGTTTATCAATGCGTGGAGCTTCTGACAGTGACCAAAACATCTTTTTACATAATATCATCCCAGGAAGACATTCATCACGCAGAGTTCCATGGCTCAGTAGCCTTCTGCCCTTTGGGGTCAGGTATCTGTCAGAAAGGCAAATCCATTTCCACGTGATTGCTACTTACGTGTCTTAACGTTTATCCTGAGCAAGTCACAATGTATCCAAAGACATGTTTTCACCAAGCTGGTGCCGCGTACTTTTTTCTTTGTGAATCAACAATGGGTTACTAACCCAGGCATCTTCTGTGGGATCTTGTTAATCTAAAAGATGATTAAATGCCAAGGCGAACTGCTTGAGCATAATTTTCAAAGCTCTCTGCCTACAGATTTTCCAGAAGAGGACAGCTTGACCCTTTTCCGCGATGATTTAAATGATCATCTATTTGCAGGCGAGACAATGAATTGAACGCCCTCGGAAAATCTTTTTCAACTTCCAGAGCTCGGAGAAAGCCCCGATATAAAATATGGATCTGCCGCTAGCATGTCCTCTGGCCCTAATTCACACGTCTCTACTTTAGGAACAGATACACGGTGGAGCCTGCTTTCTGTCTCATTTGGTACAGAGGTGTCTAGAAATGCATCGCTTACATAGCTTGAGGACCACCGAGAAAGGATGCAAACAGAGCCCCGAATTGATAGCGATGATCCGACCACAGAGTCTTCTGCCATAAATTCATATTTACAATCTGACCACAGCCCTGAGCCGCTACAAGCTCCCAGGGGCCGGAGAATAATTGCACTATTTAATTATTTTTGAGTCAGTTTTGCTCTGTCCCTCATGAGAAGACCATCTGTTAGACAGTCCTGGACTTTGCCCTGGACCACATTTCAGAACTAATAAAATCAACATCACTCTCGTGGTCCCTTTCCTTGCGACTCGATCGCGCGGCCCGTGTGTGCTCTGTGTGGGCGCCCGGTGTTTTAACGACACAGACCCATCTCCACCTCCGTGCTTCCTCTCATCCTTTCTGTTCACTTCATCTTCCCTGAAGCTGCCCTGTGTACTGAGCAGTCAAGTCGGGGAACGAGGCTGTTGGATGTTGGAAGGCAGAGTGGTCCTCCACTGTCGGGCTCGGGAGTCCACGGGCAGCCAGAGTGGGGTTCTCATCCATCATCCTGCCAGGGGTACCTCGGGCTTGTTCTCAGTGTTGCCAGTGCAGTCAGCTGTGATGAAGTTTTTACTGATCAGAACCGTGGAAACACGTCATAAATAGTTCAACGTATGGATTTTTAAAACTCGGGGGCCCAGCTTCGAAGCGAGCTTTGCAGTTGCCTTAAACCTCCTCAGATTGCGTTGGTGTTGGAGCTGCTCGGAAGAGAACGCCTTGGAAAATGATTGTGTGGAATGTCAAGGGCACAAGCTCCTCCGCCCCCGAAACACAATGAGCAATGTATCCGTATATCGTATCTGATAGAATTTTGATTTTTTTTTTTAAATTAATTTGGAAACAATTGAATTTGGCCAACAGGAGCAGAGACTCAGTTGCAATGCCATCATGTCTGTGGTCTTTTTTGGCTAATACTCTGCAGATATAAATGTGTCAAACCGCTGTGTATAATAACACTGCAATTACCTCGCTTCCAAGGGGTACGTCGTTACATTGTTTGAACTTGTTCCCTGCCCACCACCCACCTCCTCCTTTATGAGTGATGTTTAAACCATGTCGGCTACATTAAATGTTTGGGGAAAACCGGGACTAGACTCGGAAGAACGTTATGTCGATGGAGTTTTGATGGTTTTGAAATATCGCTTAAACCGAACAGCTCAAAATGTGCAGTCCTATTAAATCAATGCTGAAAAGTTACAACTCTAATAAATTGTATTTATGCTAATGGTTCAGTCTGATTTACGGCGGCCATTAAAAGTGAAGAATGGAGCAATAGTCTTCCCAGCACGGCCCTTTTGTCTATTTTCTCTTTTATTCCTTCGCAGCTCCACAGAGCGTGCCCGCTCCCTCCAGGGTCCGCAGCATCAACGGACACGGCGTGGAAGTGACCTGGGACGGACCTGTTGAGGTTCGAGGGGTAATTGAGAGGTACATCCTGAGAGCCTACAGTGAGGAGGGCCCTTCTCGTCCACCCCGCGTGCCCTCTGCCACTTCTGAGTTCGCCAGCGCTGACAACCACACAGGTAAAAGCGATTCCCTCTGGGAGCAGATCTGACTCGTTTTGTTTTATTTCAAGTCAAAACTTTCCTCGAGGTTCCCCCGACACCACACATACAGTGATTATTCATCTATTTTTACCTGATTGAAAACAAGAACCACCCAATGAGATGGAAGCCTGTGTCCGCCTGGGATGAAAAGAATCATTCTCTAATCATGGGCTTTTACGCATAGCTTCCATACAAGGTGGATCTTCTCTGTCCCCGAGAGATCAGGTCACAGGTGCCTGTTGCTCTCCAGGCCCCTTAGACATCTTTAGAGATCCTGTGTGCACACTCACCACCAGCTTGCCTGTTTCACCGTGCAGGCGTGTGCTCTGGGACTACACCGAGTTCACGGCGCCGTCATTTATTGTAAAATTGTTGATTAAACCTAATTATGTCCAGGTGGAGGAGTCCCCGAGCACTAGCCGTTGGATAGCCATCCCAGGGAATCGATGTCTCACGGGGCAGGATGCCACGCAGCAGGAGCAGAGGAATCACACTCACGCGCATCACGCATGCCGCCGACTCGAATTCATGCCCACGTGTAGGAAGACAGCAGTTTACAGCTTCCCGAGACGTTGAAGCACCTTTAAATAGAAAGTCAAATTGAAGCCTTGGGCAAAAAAAAAAAAAAAAAAAAGTACAATTCATCAAAAGATTGGATAGAGGAAAAAAAGCATTTTCCCCCCTCTGTCAAAAAATTTTATAACTTGAAAAATTATCTGAATTTTGGAGTATCCTTAATGATCTTGTTAGTGTATCTATTGGCCAACCCTCTCTAGCTCTTTCTTTTTTAGGCTCTACAGCTCAGATATACCAACAGTTTTTGTTTTGTTTTTTAATATCTTATTTTTTTTTATTTTTCTTGTTTTTATTTTTAACACTTGATAAAAACCCACCCTGATTTAGTCTTCAGTTTGGCTTTGCCCAGTGGCCACTTTGTAGCTAAGTAGGCTGGGAAAAGAAAAAACAACAACAACAACAACAACAAAAAACAGTTTATCACTAGAAATTCTCAACCTACACGCTCCAAATGGGCACTCAGTCATGACGCCAATCCTGTCACATTTCTGAAATAACCTTCTACTCCCATTCCCCTCACTAAGTATTTTATATTTTTCCGAACGAAATGCTAACCCGCCTGCCTCATCTCCCTCAGTGGACATTTCTGTTAGATCATCTGGAACACCAGAGAAGGAACAGAACCTATCACACGGGATTTCGTAAACTGTCTTCCAACCAAACAGACGCAGCCATTGCATTTTTCTGACTGGTAGGGTTGCTATTAGGGTTTCAATGAATTAATACATGCTGAAACATTTAAAAATTATTTTCAGCCTATAATGGGCATTTGCCATCACCATTATTTTTGTTTTTATTTTTTACTTTTCTCTTTTAAAAAAAATGTTTTTCTTTATGGATTTTTTTGAGCGAGAGGAAGGGAGAGGGAGAGATGTAGAAACCTTGATGAGAGAGAACATTGACTGGCTGCCTCCTGCACGCCCCCCACTGGGGATCGGGCCCACAACCTGAGCATGCGCCCTGAACAGGAATCAAACCAGCGCCCTCTTGGTGTGTGGGTTGATGCTCCACCATTGAGCCACACTGGCCGGACAACTTTTCTCTTTAATTCCTGTTTTTTACAGAGCTTCCCTTATCCTATTAAAAATAAAATCTTCAGCGGTCTGCTGGGCCCAACTGGTCCGCCTTTTCAGAGCTGTTACTGATGGGTTTACTTCTCACTTACATGTTTCACCTCTCCCTCCACTGCAGTGGGTCACAAAATGTGGCTTCAGGACCATCAGCAGCGTCACCTTGCGCCTTGGTATCCAGGCAGATTCTTCAGCCCACCCACGCTGCTGAAGCAGAACCAGTGTGGGCAGAGCTCGGCCATCCTTGCTAGCACAGGCCCTCCTGCTCTGCTTCTGGTGCATGCCGGAGTTTGAGAACTACCGCCCACCTGCCTTCTTCCAGGGTCACTCAGCTTCTGGCTCCTCTGTCCACTCCCATTGGACAGGCTGGACACACACCAACATTCCCCAACCAATGACAACAATCTTCATTTTATCTAAATCCCCTTGCAGCTATTGCTCCCTCTCGCCTTTTCCCAGACTTGCCTTTTGCAAGAAGTACCAGTGGGGGTTGTCCACATTTCTTCTGTGACATGCCTCGCTAGTTTTATCCTCACTTTTCCTGTTGGAGGCTTTGAAATTATAGCAGCCTTGACCGAGGTTGTGCAACATCAGTTTCCCTGGAGGAGGGAATTCCCCAGATTGAAGACTTATACAGGACGCTGTTGGTTGTTGCTATAGGGTGTGTTGAGCCTGTGAATGTTGTACAGGCAGATTTTTCTCATTGATTTGAAAAATCTCTTTACATATGAAGTATATTTTGCCTTATGTACTACAAACCCTGCCAGTTTCTCATTTTCCTTTTATTTTGATTTTATTATGTATAGATTTTAAAAATATTTTAGAGTTAATATAACATTTGTTTAAAGCATTTGTTAATTTTCTATTGATCATTTTTTTAAATCTATGCTTTCCAGAGTAGACTAATATTTATTGATATTAGATGTGTCACAGTGACAATATATAATGTTATTCTCCAAATAGTAATTCTAAATTTGAGACAAGCGCAATCAGAAAATGAACATGTTGAGCATGTGATTGGTAAACAGGCAGAAGAAAATTAGAAAACTACTGACCAACAGTTATACGTTTTTATATATATTCAGTCTGCAAAAAAAAACGAAAAAGAAGGAAGTTTCAACTCAATATAATTTTGTCCATTTCTTCTTGGGAAACTCCTTTTGTTTGGATTGTTCTTTTTCTTATTGCTTTTACATCCATTATTTATAGCTGAACCTTTGAAGTCATTGTTTTAGGTCTATCTCTATAAATAGAATCTAGTTTGATTTAGTTTTATGTACAACTTGAAATTCTCTGTAGTGTAGGAGAGAAATTTAATTCATTCACATTTATTTTACAATTTACATACTGCTCTTATTTCTGAAATCACCTTTCATACTGGCCAGTCTTCAGTTTGATAGTGTTTTTCAATGTTTTTTTTTTTCCCCCTATTTTTTCATTTTCTGTTTTTGTCTTTGTGGACTGTAAATTATTTAACTTTTTCCTCCCCTCGGGGATTTTAAAGATCTATCTGCTGCTCACAACTGTGAAATGAGTAAAAGATAATCATAAGGAATCTGGAGACTAGTATTGTCAGGTGGACTTTTATTGTGCAGAATCAGCTTGAGTAGTCCTCAAAGTCAGAGAATTTACCAGTAAAGAAAAAAGAATGCTAGCAAGTGTGTGTGTGTGTGTGTGGGGGGGTGGACAGAGAGACCCCAAAAGCTGGATTTAGTAGAGCCGTTTGGAGTGTGGAGACTGGGAGGTGGCAGTTGCTTTTCTCGTCGGCTGAGGTAACGGAACCAGAGAGGGAAGGGGGTGAAGTAGTTCATGAGCACTTTTGTTCTTGATCTTAAAAGTCATGGCCGCTAAGCATTTGTGAGGTGACTTTTGTTGAGATTTTAATGCTTAATTGTGGTTGTTGGAGTGGTATTTATGTGAATGAAACAATGCTGATTTAGCTTCATTGGTTCATATTGGGTTCTTTACCAGCTAAGTTTAGAAATGTTGTCAGAAAACATATTTGGTGGTGTTTGTTTTTCTGTTATATTGCAACTCTTTTATTCTGCAGATTGAGAAAGGTTAATAATGTTTATAGAACCATCACTTCTGTTGAGAAAGAGCAGTTTTCCATATTGTCTATTTCTTCCCGTTCGTCCTTAGTTTAGTCACCCAGATCCATCTCGGTTCAAGTCCCAACTGTGCCACTTGTTAACTGTGTGATCTCAGGCAAAGTGAAACAGATCCTTACACCAGAGTTTTCTCATATGTCAAATGGGGATAAAAACTTTTTCTCTGTTATAGAATTGTTGTCAAGATAACAAATGAATTACCAACATAAAATATTTCGCTCGGAGATAGGCATGTGGTAAATGTCCAATGAATCAATTATCTTGCTACTATTTAGTCTCTGAATTCTAGGTTATTGCTTCATAATTGTTCCTCTTTCATTTTTCTGATTTTTGCACTTTTGATGCTATTCTTTGAGCCTTTTAAGATAATTGAAAACATTTTTCTGTTTCAGTCTTTTATATAGTTTGCATTTGTTCCTCATCTCATTCGACTGGGTTTGATGACTGCCTCCCTCTCAATATTCTCTTTTGTTTGGCACTAACCTTCTCTCTCTCGTTTAATGGATTCCAAGTTCTTTGAGTTCGTACACTTAGCATGAGACCGATGAGGAGGAAACAGACTTGCTGAACTTAATCCTGAGTGCACAGTGATCTGCAGTTGGAGTGTTGTGTTCTCGTCTTCCTTGTGGGTTATGGATGTTGTTCCCTTGGACTAAATGCACCCCAGCACCCCCAGTTTGCCTAAATACAGCCCTATTCCCTACTTGTAGATTTTAGTTCCCTATCCCTAAACTTGTCTTCAGACTGGTGTTGGCTGAAGAAAATACAATAAATTTCAAATTCTTTTCCTGGGCACCCAATTGTTAACAAAAACCTTCCCTGGGATCACAGTGGTGCCCACAGGTAGACATGTGTGGCCCTCGGAGCACATGACATCTGGAACCTCAGCTTCTTCTTAGCATTGCGAGGAGGAGGGGGAGCTCATGGACATTTTGGACCAGCTCCAGATTCTGCTTGCCTCAGGGTCTGCTTCAGCTGTCCACTGGTTTTTGTTTCTGGTCCTTTCGTGTATTTATAAACCTTGGGTGTTGCACTGGGATTCTTAAAGGTGGTAGTTCTCAGTTTGGTGCAAACTATGCCCAGCAGGGAACTTTAAAAAATACTGGTGCATGGGCACCCCATGCAGACAGCTGGTTTTTCAGTGCCCACAAGCCCCTGTGCAGCCAGCATAGGGCAACCCTGGCAAAGGGCAGAGTCTGACCAGTGATGAAGTCTCAGT